TTTAAGTAAATTATCTAGAGGTGCACCTGAGTTAACATAATTAAAATTACCAGCAGATCCTTACCAAAAATTTCTCAAAGAAGGTTCTGACTAATACATATTAAAAGGCATGGCCAGTGGGGCACAGTGGCTCAAGCCTATAATCCTAATACTTTAGGAGGCTGAGGCAGGCAGACAGCTTGAGCCCAAGAGCTTGAGACCAGCCTGGGCAACATGGCGAAACTCCATCTCTACAAAAAAATACTAAAATTAGCTGGGCATGGTGGCATGGACCTATAGTCCCAGCTACTTGAGAGGCTGAGGTAGGAAGATTGCTTGAGCCCAGGAGGTCAAGACTTCAGTGAGCTTTCATCGTACCACTCCAATCCAGCCTGGGTGACAGAGTTCGTCTCAAAAGAATAAACAAAAACAAAGAGCAAGGCATAGCCTTCCCTAGGAATTTGGTTTCTGTCTCAAAAAAAAAAACACAAAAAAAAAAAAAAAAAAGGCCATATGATTGTCAGCGCAGAAAGCCTTCCACAAAGGAGGAAAGAATGGGACCTGGACTCAGTAAAAAATCCCCACCCTCCCAGAGTCGCTGGGAGTATCAGGTCTGAGCTAGCCATGCCTGGCCTAGATATAAATTTCAATATATAGTGATATCATACTGTAACGTTTTGTCTGACATATTCATGCCAAGTACAAACCTCCTCTTGACTCTCAGAACAAATACAGTAATGATTTCATATAAAGCTCGATAATATCTAGGCCAGCGATGGTAAGCTCACACCTGTACTCCCCAGGCACTCTGGAAGGTGATTCTTTAACTGAGTCAGTCAATCTTCCCTCCTTTTGGAAGTGTTTCTGCCTGACCAAATCCTCAATATGGCCATTTTTTTTTTTTTTTTTTTTTGAGACAGAGTCTCACCTCTGTCACCCAGGCTGGAGTGCATTGGCTATTCCATAGGCGGCAGGTTCTATACGCCACAGCTTGGAGTCTCTGGGCTCATAGCATCCCTCTGCCCTACGCTTCCTGAATAACTAAGGAGTAGCAGCCGTAT